TCGAGATCAAAGAATATCGATATTGCATGTTGTTTATTTACTATAGCATTTTTAACAAAGGATTCTAAACAACTTTTCCTGAAACTACACTGAATATCTGTTATAAGGTTATTGGTTTCAAGACACCAAGTTAATCTATTTTCACCATTCGTTCCATGGTTTTACAGGCACAACTCGTTAAAGAGTTTGGCCTGTAATTAGACGGGTCAGTATGATCCCGGCCAGGTTTTGGTATTGGGATTACAATGGCACTACGACACGAAGGAGGAAAATTTCAAGACGTCCATATTTCGTCAAATATATCTAAAAGTGTCACCAGACATGGTTCAGGCAAGTGTTTCATTAGCTGGTAATGTATATTGACATTACCCGCTGCTGTGTCATGAGCTTGCTCAAGAGCTGTATATAACTTTAAAATTATTAATTTTTCCACACAAATTGTTTGAAGCAAAAACCAGTTGGCCTTGGAAGATTCCACCGTGAGGAAGGTGGAACATCACCCTGTTTGATAGCGTTTAGGATAGTAGGGAAGTGATCACTTTCCACAAAAGTCATCATGAAAAGACTATTCAAATTCGTTGTAAACATTCGAATCTGCAAGGGACAGATCAAGGGAAGAATAGGTTCCGGTAGCAGGGTGTAAATAGGTGCTTGATTCATCATTAAACACACAGAAATCATTATCAGAAATAAAATCCTCAATTACCTTGCATTTATTGCTTGTAATTCCCCATAGAGGGCTGTGCGCGTTCAAATCGCCCATGAGAATGCAGGGCTTAGGTAGCTGAACATACAGAATCTGAAGATCAGTTTGTCGAAGAGCAGATGACGGTGGAATGTACAAAGAGCACAAAGTAAACGTAATGTGCAAAGTAAGCCGCTTTAAGATTGGTATTTAGATGGACACCACTATGAATGATATTCTGTCTTACTAATATAGTAGATCCTCAAGTCGCTTTATCCCCATGAGGAGAAAATGAACAATAACATTTGTACTGCCTTAAATCAAATGTATAACTGTGTTTAAGATAGGTCTCCTGTAGACAGAATGCCAACCGTTTAAAATCCTTAACTAACAATTGGATTTCATTAAAATTATTTCTAAGTCCTCTACAGTTCCACTGTATTATATTTTGCGAATGATTCATGATCTGGGAGCATTTATTGGCGATCTCCCACACCTCGGCTTTGTATTCGATAAACTCCCCGTCCGATGATGTATGTGTTCAGATACATCCATATCTTCGAGGGATCCAAACTTAATATATAGCTGGATCTCATCTTTTGAACCCTCAGCAAATCTACTGAGGCTGTAGTCGGAGATGGTCTTTTGGTAATTGAAGCATAAGACTCACTTTGATTGAAGGATGGTACGAGTTTCTTCTCATCATCATAGCTAATGTTTTGAGTATGCTTAAATTTATTTACCTCCATTTCCCTCTTCCATACTGGGTAATAAAGAATGCTTGCCAGAACAGTTGACACATATTTTATAGTTGCTTTCATAGTCTTCTGTCACGTGTGATTGGTCGCCACAAGTTATAGGATTTAAGCAAGAATTGACTCCGTGACCAAATGTGTGACATTTAAAGCACCTCAACGGATTTGGGATGTACAGTTCAACTGGCAGATTACAATACCATGCTTTGATTGAGTTTGGTGCAGTTGGAGATACAAATGAGAACAGGTATGTATTCGTTGGTATTACTTCAGAGTTCTGACGTCGAGTAAATAGTTTTACATACGTGACACCTTGATCTTTAAGTTCTAGCATGATGTCAAGTTCTGTCATGTCCTCTATCCTAACAATACCTGTACTTGAAATGAGGGTCCTGTGGAAAGACACTGTAACAGGAGATCCAGCTAACGTATTGGTTGAAAGCAGGTTGGTTGCTTGTTGTCGTTTGCTACATTCTATGAGCAACGATCCAGAACTCATTCTGTTGATATTTTTGGCATCTCCTGCTCTACCATACACTGCTTTAGACATAATAAACGGGTTCATTACCAGGAATCGTGACCAGCAGTCTATTTGTTTGGATGGCCTACAACTGTCAGTTGTACCCGGGTCATTATCAAGTTGACGTTTTTTCTTCATGGGGGTTTCAAGTTTCATGTTGAGGTGTATAGTTTCACCATCCCAGCTCCCCACCCACCACGGAGTGTCATACAGGCAATGCTAAAACCCCGACTTGCAGCACCAAGGATACAGGGATAATGTACTCAAGCAGAATAATCATAAGTAATTACTCCACCAGAGTGCTCCATGAGCCACCGCCTACTGGGCATAAGACTCTAGGCAAATTACAAAACTGGAGTTGCTCATTTGTAATTCAAATATATAATCATTCAGCTAAGACATATGTGAAAAACGAGCTATTAGCTTTACCCAGGACCCACCACGAGGAGGTTGCTCTTCAAGGGTGCCGCAACTAGGGTAAAACAACCTTGACAAAACGCCAAACAAACGTGGCCGAACGTGACAAAACTTGAAAGGACTGTGAGATGCCGGGAAATACACATGCCTCCCGTCCCACTACAGACCGTCTACATGTTTGTTACGGCCTATTACGTGCTGTCACGTTTTGTTGCGTTCCCCCCGTTTTACTACGGCATACTAGGTTTCTCATTAGTACCGTGACTGCCGTGGCAATTTTTTTAACAGTTTAAAAATCCACGGCAATCATTGACTGTCACGTTTGCTCATTCAGTCCCCGCACGTTGTCTCACGTCCATCCCGTTTTGTCCCCGTTTCGGCGAAACGGGGCTGCCGTGGCCGCCGGGAACATAGTGTAACCCCGGCTTTAGGGACGGTTATGAGCCAGCGTTAAACGTAGTACAACAATGTTTTACTTGTTATACATTGCACCTGTAGAGTCAGTGAGGGTCGGAATGTTTAAACTTGTGCTACAACCCTATAACTATTTCCCTATAGCTCTGAGAACAGTGTAGAATGATCTTAAAAATTGTCTAGAATCGTTTGAGATAAAATAGCCTTCAGGACTAACTGGAATTTTGAAATCTGCTTCACCCCCAAATCATCTCACGTCCTTCTCACTAAATTTCTTCATTTACTGGGACATGTTTGAGTGTTGTTTAAAGCCGCACTCAGCAATAATTCAGCTATATGGCGGTGTTGGACATGTCGACAGAATAGATATTATTGTTTCGTTAAAAAACATTTTACACAAAAAGTAGTCCTATTCGTGTATATGGTGCTGAGGTGTGGCGATTTCAATCCTTAGACTTTTGACAAAGTTCACTATTTGTTACGAGGGAGGGGTGCAAAGAGCGGAACAGCCAGGTGTGCGAGAAAGGATGGAGACCGTACAGCACAGGTAAATGAATCAATAACTTTGTCGGCACTTGTGCACCTGGGTGTTACTCTCTTTACAGTCCTCCCTCGTAACAAATAGTGAACTTTGTCAAAATTTTAATGATAGTTTCTTAAACAACTTTTTTATTATTTTAGGACATAAATTCTGCAAAAATATCAGAGTTGGTCTGATGTTTTGATTATGATCAGTGTTTCATTGAGTATTATATGTTTAGTAGTTTTCGAGTTAGATTGCAATTCATCGGTCCGCTTTTGAGCCAAACGGACTATAGTTTGTTGATGTTTTCAGGACTGTCGTCTGATAGCCGATGGATGATGGCCAACATTTCTTGCAATAGTCCTCAATGACATGCCAGCATTCCGCATACCAATAACTTACCATCCTTGAGCAGTTGTCCAAGTTATCGAGCTATAAGAACAGTTCACTTAAACTTGACATTTGTTTAACCACGGATACACGTATTTAGCCGCCTTTAGCACATATACATATGAACAATCAATGGCGCGACCAAAGGGAAACTAATACTACAAAGGGGATTTGGGGATTAAAATTCACAGTAGAAAAAGGCTGTAGTGGGATTGGAGTAATATATGCTCTGTAAACAGCATTGTGAATCACTTATGACAAGGATCATCTCAGTTTACGGGCTTTTCGGAATGACAAAGATGAAGGTCAAGGTTGTAATTGGTAGATTGTAATCGGTGGGATACCACGTTGCTGAACGGTGTTTGACATTCTTCATTCGCGGAGCCATAAAAACCATATTTATATTTCATGCATAAAATTAAATATGTTTAAATCTCAATGCAATCCTAAACAGGATCAGTGGGTTAGTGAGTGAGCGAGTTTTTGCTGCGCCATGCAATATGCCATATACATAACCAGAACTGGTCTGAACATACAGAACAAAATAGGTACTGATTGAAGTATAAGTGAGTGAGTGAGTTTAATTTTACGCCGCATTCAGCAATATTCCAGCTATATGGCGGTGGTCTGTAAATAAACGAATCTGAACCAGTGATCAACATCATGAGCATTGTTCTACACAATTGGGATACGATGACATGTGTGAACCAAGTCAGCGAGCCTGACCACCCGATCCCGTTAGTCACCTGTTCCGGCAAGCACGGGTTACTGAAGATCAATTCTAACCCGTATCTTCACGGGTTGAAGTATAAGTATAGTAGAGTACTAGATCGAAGTATCTGGTATAAACTAAACAGTTTTACTATTTCAGCTATCACAATCTTGCAGCGTTACATTTCCACCAAAGGAAAGACAAAGAGCTAGGAGAACAAAGCGCAAGCTGACAGAATGAACATGGACGGGCCACATAACGCCCAAATATTTTTCAGAGAATGGAACTAATATCGAAAATGAGATGTTTAAAAGAACATCAACTATATTTCATTATTTACGCTTATTATTGACTAAAAATATGTAATTATATGAAATCGATAGTTTTTGATTGAAGCTATGGCCAGGTCGACATCCACAGGAATCAGAATTGTGAGTGATCTGAAGTCCGAACCATACAGAGGACTAGAGATACACATGTATGTGCATACTGTACACAGGAACACAATTCGGTATCTTTCAGGTGAAACATTCATTTCATATGCGCCAAGAAGCAACCCCAGTTTTGATACCGTCTGGGTCTATTTAAGACTGTGCGACGTGGACATCGGGTTTCTCTGTATCTTCAGCTGCTTCAGGCTGGGTCGGTGATGCATCGGAATCAGGGTTCGTCTTACCGACATCATATTTAAGAAAAAGAAAAGCTGCAAGGAAAACAGTTGACGACAGCAGAGAAAGTCCCGTGTCCATCCCTTTCACACGATACCGTAGGCTTGGGAGATCATACACTGCACATGCGCCGACCTCGCCACATGTTGTTTCCCAGAGAGTGCACGTGGTGTCAATGACCTTTCCATAAACGATAGGTGATGGAAGGTAACCTACGGAAGAAGGATTCATTATGAGAACGTAAAATCATAACGAAAACACTTTACTATATATATTGCCATTTTGCATCAATGCAGTGGAGCTGGCGGAGCCAAACTAAATATCGATCGATTATCGATAAATATCGGGGACTTAACGTTGAGCAAAATTTCCAAATATAACATGACTCTTGAGTTGTGACATGGTTTGCAGGGACTACTAGTGAGTGAGTGAGTGAGTGAGTGAGTGAGTTGTGGCATGTTTTGCAGGGACTACTAGTGAGTGAGTGAGTGAGTTGTGGCATGTTTTGCAGGGACTACTAACAAAACAGCGTCTTGAACATATTTTAGAAGCAGACCATGATCAAATTCTAAATTTGTATGTCTGTGTGAGAAACTTTCTGTCACAAAAGTTATTGTAAGATCGATATTATCGATAACACACTTTTCATATCGTGAGTGAGTGAGTGAGTTTAGTATTACGCCGCACTCAGCAATATTCCAGCTATATGGCGGCGGTCTGTAAATAATCGGGTCTGAACCAGATAATCCAGTGATGAGCAGCATGAGCATCGATCTTCGCAAATGGGAACCGATGACATGTGTCAACCAAGTCAGCGCGCCTGACCACCCGACCCCGTTAGTCGCCTGTTACGACAAGCATGGGTTACTGAAGATGAAACTTCTAACCCGGACCTTCACAGGTCACTTTTCATATCGATAATCATTTTTTTCTCATCGACTTTATTTCCGATTATATATCATTTTAGCCGGCCCTGCAATGTAAACCCGATGTGGATGTAAAGAGTTACTTTGTTCAACGTCCCTCAGTAAAGACACATCATGGTTGAAAATGAATAAAATTACTAATTTAGATGGATATTACACAAAACAGACTCGGAACTGTTATTGTTTACTCAAGAAGATATGGTTACTAAGTGGATAATTCGACAGCGGATGATACCTTCCTAAGTAGATTATGATATCATATACGTAAAGTTACCTGTAGTCTACGGGTATGTAAAGATCATACAAGTAGATTTTTTTCTAGACTGAGGCATTAATCTGGTTCCTTAGTTTCTATAAAATATGATGGTAGTCATAAGAGAAACCATAATGGCAACCCGTGAAGATCCTGGTTTGAATTGGTTTCAGCATACCAGGCTTGTTGTAAAAGACGATTAACGGGATTGCGTGGTCAGGCGCCCTGACCTGGTTGACACATGTCATCGTATCCCAATTATGTCGATCGATGCTCATCACTGGATTGTCTGGCCAAGCCTCGATTATATAGAGACTGCCGCCATAAAGCTGGAATATTGCTAAGTGTTGCGTTAAACAACAAATCAACACAATAAGCGGCCGCCGCATGCTATTCCTTTACTTACCGACAACACTGTCTAAGAAAGCCGTTAAAGCGACAGCCATGGATTTATCCCTCGGATGCACAGTCCTTTATTAGAACAGAAAACGAATCAGTCAATATATAATAAAAATATACATATACATGACCAATTCTAAAGTATGTAAGGGAAACGAAACCATCCATCTGCCCTTGCCTTAATGTTGATAAAATGCCTTGTAATAAATGTACGTCACAATAAAATAGACCAAGAAATCTGAAAAGCATGCGTTCATGAAATCCTGCCAAAGAGAGATGATAACAGCTGTTCTCGATAAGGTGACGTATCCTATGTCGTACTTTTCATAAATTACATTTTCCATTACTTACTATAATATATATATGTTCGTTTTTTAATTCCCTACGTCTTGTTTTTTCAACTGAATCTGATAAGTTGTTACCGGCATCAGTATAAAATAACAAGAATCAACTGGTTTGTCGACCACACCAAACTTTCGACCCTCCACAGAATCAATGCCACATCAAAATCTGACGTTACACAAAATGTTAATGCGAAGGAAGTCTGATCGGCCTTTTGGGGTATCTAGAAGTCGTTTTAGGTTGCTGTCTAGTAAACACTGATAAACGTTATGACTGTATGAACTATATCTGTACACAATATACACAGTTCCGTAAAAACATAACAAGGATTCATGATAAGTCGTTTGAATAAACGAATATAACAGATTTAGGAAAATATATTCAATTTGTAATTCCAAATAGTGATGCTATTTTGCAATACACGTTAACAGATTAGGCACACTGCAGAATCACTGTTTACATAATTTTGTCACCACTAGTTTCCTTTTCTGGCAGATTGACCCGATGTACATAAATACTGACAGTTCATTAGGTCCTATATTCGGGGAGTGTGACCAGGGATTTGTATCTGAATTTAGGATTACAAAAGTAACGCTTTTTGTCAAACATATTTTAAAATACGATTTGATCAAAATTGGGATTTTTTAAAGTTCTAACTTTCTTAATTTCTGTGTTATTAAGGGCATTACGTTGAAAAAAGGTATTATTTCAACAATCGAATGGTCAGCTTTGGTGTTATGTCGAGCAATTTTCCTAAAACTTAGCCTTTGGTGTTCACATTTCACAACTTTTGAGATACAATAGAGCCTTATCTTTTTACCAAGCTTTGAAAGAGCTCACAGGACTTATGCTCAATAGTTGTTTGCTCAAAGTTAAGATTTTTAAGGTCTCATTAAACCTTCCAAAACGTTTTCTCTGTTCTAATTCCCTATTTTGATCTGTTTCGTATATTTGCATGCGTTAATGGAGAGTGCCAGCAATGGGGCCGGATCCACAGATTTCAGTGTGACGAAAATCCTTAGAGCAGGTCCAGATACTCGAATAAAATAACATATATTTTATGATTCATTTATCATGTAAAGAAGCAAACAATATTGACGAGAGGGGACATAATGTACTATTTTGTCGATATTCTTTTCATGACTAAAGCTAACTTTATTCCTGGCGAATATTTCAGAGTGCAACAGATATAACGTATGCAATGTTGTAACTGTTGAAACCTGTGTAAAGATATACACGTTATATACTGCTCGTTTACGCTTAGCATATTTCACCGACTTTTACTTGTCCATACATATGATTTTCACAGCTATTGTGCCCTTCACACCACATGAATCCGTTCCTGGGGATCGTCAAAACTGGGTATTTCTTTTAACTGACGTTTTATACTTAGGGTTTCATTAAATTAATAGAAAGATAAAGACAAATGTTTATTAACCTGCCACGAACGTATAATAAATAAATCATTGGCAGATCCAGCCCAAACTGGCATGCATGGCTTGAGGGGCTGAGCTTCTCGCTGTCTGCTAGTTTTACTCACTCCTAGACCCATACCTAAGACATTCACATCTATTGATACAATTCGAAAACAAAAATATACCCTTCTCTCTTCATATTGTGTTTGTAAAAACACTTTTTCTTCTTTTTACAGAATTAGATTTGTTGACTGATCTGTAAATAATATTTTATTATTTGTAGTTTAGATTAGTAACTCAGATTGTTAGTGGCTGTACCCTCAAAGGGGGTTGAAGTATTGTAAAATTATTGTCCTCCTGAGAGGGTACGTAAGTCCCAAAACATTCAAAGGAAATTTGAATTTACCAGCCTTTTAAATGTAGTATTTTTGTCATTTTAATTTTGGCTAGGTTTGACTACAATCACCAATGGCTGAAGAGTTGATATAGATCCAGCTTGGGTCCATGTAGGTAGCAAAGGTACTGTAAGTCCCCATGGACCCTAGTGTGGTGTTCTACCTTCAGTTTAGGCGATCTATAGCCCGTGTTTTATATTGTACTGTCTTCTTCATTTAAAATGTTTTAGATTTACATTCTAGTTTTATATTAATATCTGTGATACTCTAGGATTTTTACTGTCCATCGTTGACAGGTTTAACTCTTCACAATGTTTTCATTTTTATATTGTATAAATTGTTCTCGTCACGATATGGTTGAAATATTGCCGATGTGACGTTAAATATTAACTCACTCAATTTGACAAAAGGACGAGTAAATATATATTCTTGGCCGAAATCATCTTCCGTACGACCAAGTACCCCCGTCCGTTTAACCAGAGTGATTGGTCCCCTCCCAAATGGGGAGTGCCTAAAACTCAGGCCAAGACAAATCGGCCACCGGGTACTACTAAAAATGGAATGCAGAATATTAAAACGAAACCTGCGCGAGGCGAGCACAGAAGCTGGGCGAATTTTGTTTATCGGAAGTTATGTATATAGTCATAAATATATATTTAAAACTCCCGCATACTGGTATGAATTAGACGTGGTATGATAGAGTCCAATGTGTGGTAATTGAAAACACCTACTTCATTAAGGTGATAATGATAGGGACTATAGAAACTGTCGCCACTAGGCCGGCCACCAGGTCAACGACGATGTAAGGATAAAGGTAGGGGCAGTCTGCCGGACACCTGCCCTCTGTGCCCTCGTCACCAGGAATCTCGCTGCATCCAGTGTATGTCTGGAATATGATCGGCATACTATACAGTGAGTGAGTGAGTGAGTAAATAGTTTAGGTCACATCGGCAATATACATATATATATTATATATATTATCTTAATGATGACTTTCTGTCGTCACAATACGGCTGACCTATTGCCGATGTGACGTAAACTGTTTACTCACTCACTCATATAGTTATTTTATAAAATGCTGTCATCGAAAGACAGTACAACTACTAGATTATCTAAGATGTTATTAAAACTAATTTGTGAAGATAAAACATTACACTATTCACTGACGGTATAAAGTGGGCTAGAGATCGCGAGCAACTAAAGTGAGGTCACCACACAAGTAATCGTGGGGACTTACAATATTTCTGCTCCCTGCACGGCTTTCCAGCAGGATTTCTACCATCCCTTCAACTGCTAGCGATTGCATGCATGGTTAGCCATATATCTAAGATCTACAAAGACACTTCGATTAAAAACGATGATAGATATGGGTATTCTTTGAATGATGTGGACTTATATACCCTCTCAGGGGGACAATAATGTTACAGTACCTCAGTCGCCCCTGAAGAGTACAACCACAAAAATTTTATACTATTTATTTTTATACTAAACAGCGTTACTAGCAATATGTTGCCTTGTGGTACACCCTGATCTTGATCGTGAAAGTCAGACAAGGTGGATCGTACACGAACCTTGAAATACCTGTTTGCTAACAATTGTGATATAAAATTAAACAGGATTTGGGAAGTTGATCAAGAGAGACCTGAGAGCAGTTTGCTGAAGTGCCGATAAAGGCGGAATATATAGCGAGAATAATGCAAAAGCAACGTTAAGAGTAAGTCGTACTGTCATAGCCTGCAGATTAGTTTTAAGAGTAACCGGGCTGTGGATGACGTCATAACAAGGATAGAAGATCCTCCAGCGGCCCTATTCCCCGGAGGAGAAAAATTAATGATAATCTTTGAACGGAACTTCTCTCTCTCTTTCAGATACGTTTCCTGCAGACAGAATGTTGACAGTGTAAGATCCTGTACTAATATATGTAATTCATTGAAAATAGTCCTGTTGATATTATTAGAAGAAACTTTTGGGCAGATTAATAGGGGACCTACCCTTCACTTTCTTCCTACAAGGACGACAAACTATGTGCTCCATGGTGTATGTTATCTGACACATCCATATCCTCAAGTGAACCATCATACCAATAATTGAACGCGATTTTCTGAACCTTTTGAGTGATCTCCACTTTTTTGTCACAACGTTTTCCGAAATTGTTTCAGATCTAGTTTCTTCAGCGGATTTAGATGAATGTTCTTCAGATGAAGATGAATCCTGACTAGATGCCTGTGTCTGAGCTGTAGAGAGTATCTGGGCGCCTAAACATAATTCTGAAGTTTTGAATACAACGTCCGGGTGTGACGATTGGATGGTTGGTACTTTTTACCCCAGTCAAGCCACATACCCTCGTGTCTTTGCGAGGATTAAAGATTTAAAAAATAATATATATAAATTTGAGATGTCCCCCGACTCGAAATGCTGCACAGTACCCCAGTACCCCAGTTTTGCCGATCGCTACGGTAAAATCGCATGCAATTGATTAAAAATTAATGTAAACATAATCATGGATCATTGGCTTATCGATCACCATTCATGACACCTACCAATTCTTTATTGTTATTTCTGTAATTCGATTGAAACCCGATTTTGATTCTCAACTAAACGATCTTGACACAAATGGATGACGATATATCCGCAGAAAACGGGGGTGTGGTCGACGCAAGCCCTCTGGTTGGTTGATGCTTGCTCAGAAGACATTTACAACTGATGCTGTCTTTTGAGAAGTCATTGCTGGAAAAAAGAATTCTTACATTTCCAAGTCAAGCAGTCGATGAAAGTTAAAATCCCCGTGAAGAATGTGCAGATTTTACAAGCGTTGCCCAATCACAGGGCTTGCTTCGGGTAGGCCAATCATCCATCATGATGTTTACATCAAGTTTTAATCGACAGCATGCGATGCTAGTGTAGCGATCGGCAAAGCAGGCCGGTGGGGTACACCGAAGTGTCCGGCCTTGTCATTATGTATTATACTGTGAAGCATTTCGAGTCGTGGATCATCTCAAAATCAATATTGTTTTAATCATTAATCCTCGCAAAGACACGAGGGCCTGGAGTCAAGCCTGTTTGGCAGTTTACTGACGAAGTGGATATATGGATATACCTTTGGCATGATATCAGAGGGTTTCCTGACGACGGATGCATGTTCGGCACTATATATTCATTTTTTCTGCATTTGCTAATGTTTTGTGTGATTTTAATTCTGTTAATTTCCATTTGTTTTTCAACATTTTACAGTCTTTAGAAAAGGAAGAATAGCTACCGGAACAGTTTGTGCAATTGTTAAAGTTGCTGTCACAGTCTTCTGTGACATGGGACGTATCACCAGAGTAATCATATGTTTTTGGCAAGTTGGCACAATGATCGTATTCTTTTCATCTATAACACCTTAAAGGATACGAATATAGATGTTGACTGAGCGAGTTGGGTTTAATTCCGCTTTTAACAATATCCCAGCAATATCACGGCGGGAGACACCAGAAATAGACTTCAAATTTTGTATTCATGTGGGGAATCGAACCCTTCCCTCCAGCGTGACGAGCGAACGCTTTAACCACTAGGCTACCCCACCGCCCTCAATATACATGTCGACTGCAATATTGCATTAACCTGCCTTGATCGACTTTGGGGGATTCGGGGAAGAGAATGAAAAATGATTAGGGTGTTAGTTTGAACAGTTTCGTTGTTTCGTGGTGAAGTTTTTGACATATGTAACTCCTTGGTCTTTCATTTTAGATACAATATCTAGTTCTGTCATATCAGTCAACAAGCATTTCATGTCTCAGACTATGCCCTTGCCGGTACTGAGCGTTCAGTGAGACTGAAACAAGGATGCCCACAAATGTTTAAGGTGACATGAGGTTTGACGCTTGTTGTCTCTTGTTACATTCGAGTAGCAGTGCACCTGAACGTGAGCGCAAAAGCAGCTCTTACCAAATCTCTTGACACCACTTCTGATGCCCTACACTGACTATAAACCCTTTATTAGATCTTACATCTGTAATCTGATGCAAAAGAAGTGGGACATACAAGTAGGTATCAATAGATTACATCAAATTAAACAAACTATCGGTTATACCTACTTGGGTTGTCAGTCCAGGTTTGAGGAGGTCGTCTTACGACGATGTCGTATTGGCCATTCACGTTATACGCATGAATATTTGTTGAAAGGTGAAGATCCTCCATTTCGTATCCTTTTTGATGAAAGAATTACAGTCAAGCATGTCCTGCTTGATTGTGTGGATTTTTCCATCAAAAGGGATAAATATTTCTATAAAGGATCTTTTTAGCATAAATTCTCGTTTAGCTTTTACAAGAAATTGATATGCTTCACAAATTTTGATTTATATGTGTTGTATATACATGTAATAACTTATTTAATGTATGGTCGAATACATTGATAAGTGAGATTGTGTGTTGATGTACCCTCAAAAGGGTTAAAGTTGTGTAAAGTATTTGTCCCCCTGAGAGGGTACGTAAAACCACGTCATTCAAAGTCTATTTAATCGCACTATGTTTTTAAATCGCAGAATATGTGTTCGTTTAATCCATGGCTAATTTGCTCAAAATCGCTAACATCTGAAGGGATGGAATAAATCCAGCTCGAGACCATGCAGGTAGCAAAAGTACTTTAAGTCCCCATGGTCTCTAGTATGGTGATCTACCTTCTGTTGTTGGCGATCTATAGCCCATTTTTATATTGCATTCTTGCATGTTTAAAAATTGTTTATGATAAATTGCTAGTTTTAGGTCTTAATCTGATATTTCAAGTGGGCGTAACTTCAGAGGCGTTTTATTAGGAGTCTCCAACACCAAGACACGTGACCAGTTATCGATAGAGTTCGAAGGTCGCTGTTCATCGTCGTTGTCAAGTGGACGTTAATATATTAGGGGGTTTGGGATTCCGTGGTTGTTTGTTATGGTCCATCATCCGAGCACCCCACCCACCATGGAGTATCACAAAGACAATGCTAATAACAAGAGGATGTCCAACTTGCAACTCCTGGAATACCCGGGGGTACCTGGATGATGATTAATTATTCTACTAGATTTGCCCACGAGCCACCGCCTTCTGGGCACAGGACTCTTGGCAAATTACAAAATTAGGAAATACAATTTGGCCAAGATATTTGACAAAACATTTTAAACGTTGATGTAATTTGTGCAACACAATAACACACAAGGCGTGGCATGGCCAGCTGAGTCCATTCTAACACCAGTCTGGGGCATACAATACAGACGTAAAATGCTTAGAAATAGTATCATTAAAGTATATATCTGGTTTGAGTGAACACGGAAATTACCAATACTGCCATTCCATGAGCATTCCTTGAGATACCCTAAGTGCTATTCTGTGACTGGCATCCTGACATACATGGTGACTAGTAAGGGAAGAGGTACTTACTGTGTAATTCTGTGACTGACATCCTGCAATACAGGGATTGATATACGTCACCCCGTCAACTCCACACAGAGGCATGAACTCAGTTGCATCACAGATGCAAGGAGTACCGTTGACCATGGAAGACCTGAAATTTACAATCAATGCCAATGTCAATCTCTCATAGAAAATAGTGTAAGGCTCCTACCTAGATGGTGTGAAGTTTTTCTGTTTGTGTACCGAGACGACAAAACAATGGTCAACATGTTTAATGCAGACGTATTTGAATTATACCTTTCAACGAAAGAAAAAAAATACACCTAATTGTTGTGTGTGTAATTCACTACAACCGTAACTACGTGTAATACGTTGTTGCAAATGACACTTGTGCCAACGAAACAACTGATAGCCTAGTTAAACTGACAGTTTCACCCCGAGACATCACTCATGGTCTGGTGATATCAGCCAACCCAGGTTGTGTGAATATATACTTTGTCTTTTCGTTAAACCATATGACTATAACCATACATGTTCGGTTGTAGGCAGCACTCCTCAACTGTAATTTTCTTGGTGCCGTTGTACAAAGCGATCTGAGCGCTAAGGTGGCCGTAACTCCCATACCTTAACATAGACTTGAGGTAGTCTTAGTGCTAAGGTTGTTTTGTACAACGGCACCCTGGACCCGGTTGTATCAAACTTTAATGAAGCATTAACGTGCCATTGAACGTACATTCTAAGATGCCTAGCGGTTAGAACAATCGAAAAAAAAATACATTATCAGACAATAAAGGTATAGTTTTTTGATGACGTAACAATTGAATGACGTTATCCCGTCACTGCGCCATTCTAGTGTGCCCCCTCGTAATCAAACCATTTTACATTACGTCACAATGTAAGCGACGTCACGATGCATGTCAGTTGTCATCGCCTCGTACGGCCTCCTACAGTAAACTACACCGTTGCATCCAGTTTCTTGGTTTGCTGTTGCTTCACGCAGCTAACATCACTGGTGGAAACATTACGTTTATGTTTTACGACGTTTAAAATGTGTCATTTCGACTAACAAGTTTTCAGCGACACGGTAACGTTCGTAATGTTTACATTCCCACAATGCAATTGTGGAATGTCGCTTGACTACTCAACTTCCTCTGGATGTACTGATCTCAACTTACGCTGGTAGTAGAAATGCAACGTTCATATTGCCCCATATGGTTTACGTTAATGACAGATGTAATTAAAATAATTCAGAGAAGATATTTAATCCGAACGTAAACCGTCATCAAACTGTTATCATTTGTTTTTCTCTCTGGTAACGTTCGTCTTAACGTAGGGGGCAGACACATCAATAGAACAGTGCGCCAGTTAGCCCTGTGCGAGGATTCTTAATTTAGGTCACCGACGCAAGCGTCCTCGTGCTTTAACTATAATAGTTCAGGGCAAAAGTGTGTTTTATTACACTATACATGGTGGTAGAGCGAAGTGTATTTCTTAATTAAGTAATGTATCATTAGGGTTTAGTGTTGACATTAGTTAATAAAGGAATGATACAACCGGGTCCTGGCTGTCACATATGCCACATCGACATTTTCTGGTTCTTACAAGCTTCACCTATCTGCTGTCACCTGGGCCCTTGGTGCAGGATTATGACAACTAACACATATACACTGTAACCCTTTCCCTCCTTTTTTAATTCTAACTGAGATAGTCTAGTTGTTTTACTGTCCTTTGACGACAGGTTTTACAATATACACGTATTCCATTTCAATGTCAAATTTGTTCTCGTCACGATATGGCTGAAATATTACCGGTGTGACGTTAAATATTTACAACTTCCTCTTACCTGCTGTCACCTAGACCTTTGATGTTCTGGCTGTCACAGCCAAAGACCAACGTGAGACAATAGAGGGCAGTTCCAGTGAACATCACTATGGTCGTGAGCTTCATACATCCCTTGTTAGTCAGTCTGAGTCGGCTGGTGAGAATGCCTCCCAGTAAAGTGCCAAACACTGCCCACAACAGCCCAAGTATACCTTCAACACATACCGATTTGCAGCTGTGAAGTTCAATTAAAAAGAATCAATGGTGTTTTTGTACATTCAAATAATCACGTAATTCTGCTCACATACCCGTACTGCGAAGTCTTTCTTTTGAGCCATCAGATTCACAGAAAAAGAACCCTTCTCAACCAGAATCAATACGTTGGATCCCTTGATTACACTGAACCAGTCTTTTGTTATGTGACAGTACATGTAGAAAATTGTTGTATTTGTGTTTCATTGCTTCTGTTAAGATGAAGAAGAAAGGGCGTAGTGGCGTGCTATACTATATTTAGACTGGGAAACGAGAAGGGTGAGGACATGTCAAGACCTCCCAGGTTATTCTAGTATAGTCTCTGTTGCTGAACATTTAAGTGTTAAAAATACATCAGAAATGGGCTTCGCACATTGTACCCATGAATCGAACCCTATGCTTCAGCGTGACGAGCGGGCGTTTTAACTTATAAGCTTTTTATTGAATATCCCCAGTATTTTCAAAAGTATTTCAGCTTGACATAAGAATCAAGACATAACACTTTGCAATACAGGACAATACAAACTACTACCTGGAGGTATGGCGCAACACTCTAAATAAAACTGTTTCCTCCTCGCTCATGAACATCACGCACCAGCAAAAGGCCTTGTACACATCGCTTTTCTTTTTTTAAAGGTCACGACATCGCTACTTACTCATTATGAAGTTCGCCCTAGATGCTGACGTAGCAAATTGGGTCTCGATGTATTTAGGAGCAAATCCTACATAGCCTCCAACGAAGAACGAAAGACAGACGTTTCCCAACATGAGACTGCCAGCTACTGGGTTCTTCAAGATCCGTAATACCGATCTCGGCATGTCTGTGGGTACAAAGACAAATAAGAGATTAATACAGTGTTTGGAACATTGTAGCTGCCAACTCTCTGTTGAGTATATGGCATGTCCGTGTGTAGATGCATTCAGTAAGTGTCTACCCTCAGTAACTACAGACCTGTGTCAAACCCAACATTCCTTTCTAAAGTGCTTGAAAGGGCTGTGAAGTATAACACCAGTGCTAACCTCCCTACACTGGCCCCGGCCAGTCCAAGCTCGAGTCCAATACAAGATACTTACTTTGACATATAAGTGTGTCAATCAAACTGCTGCTACCTATCTGACACAATTCGAGGAGAAATATAAACATTCTAAGATCTGCTGATCAGTTACTTCTTAAAGTACCCAAAACCAGCCTAAAAAAAACATGGACAGAGATCATTTGCTTACATGGCCCCAACTCTGTAGAACGATCTTCCCTTGGGAATAAAGAAATCCCAATCATTGTCAATCTTTCGAGGCTGCCTAAAGACATATCTTTTCCAAAAGTTCTATAAAGATTAAATTACCAGTGAAAACGCAGCATCTCTACTGCAGTGTATTTCAATTTTGTGTAGCGCTATGAGCATGCACTAAGTCCCTGGAGTTGGCGCATTACAAAACTAATATAATATTATTATTATTGGTAGATGTGTAAAGATGATGGTTGAGAGGCATCTTTTAGTGTATAACATGCAGCGAATATCGAAGTGCCAGCATTAGACGTTGTAGGGTGATTGACATGAATGAGCTGAACAATGTAACATCATCACACATATTGTACTAAGGAAGACACTGCCACATCGCCATAATGTCCTTCAATTTAATTATCATAGACCTAGGATTCCATTTTATCACCATTTGTGCCTTGCATGAAGTCGATCTGTCCGGGTCATATTTGTCAGTTCTGTCATGTTGCAAGTTACTGTACCAGATGTCTTGTTTTTTCGTATAGCATAGGTAAATCGGTGACTTACCCACTATATCGTCTTTCAGTGATTTCGTTGTGGCAGTGGCTTCGATTGAGGGTTTCTTTATGTGCCTCGGAAAGCAGCCAAGGGGTACAGCAATAAAGAGGGCTGCACATCCAAAGACCAGGTACCCGATCCACCATGCACCTATCCACTCTGGATGAAGGCTATCTAAATGGGACTCTTGAAATAAAAATAAAACAGTGGCATATATTTCGTATGAAACTCCGATTGCATGGCGAAATTACCGAGGGCGTGTAATATACTATAACAGTGAATACGCTTGGTTAACTTAGATAATAATTAGGAAGTGTGAAGATCATATATCCAATTCCTTTGTCAATTTGAGCGCAAAACCTACCGCTGAGATCAACTGGAATGTCGCTAAAGAAGCCGCCAAGACTGAGGGCAAGAAATGGTCCAAGGAACGCCATAGTCATAAGGATACCTGCAAGATCATGAACACAGATACAATAGAATCAATAGCTTACCTGTATCTAAACAGCATCATCTGCATGTATCACTTCCTCCACACGCACTTCTCTTTGACATTCAATAATTTCCTTTCACTCACTGCATACTCCACATGCCCAATGTTTATAGTAAGGACTCTACTTCCTGGAAATGCAGTTTTTCAAATGCATGCACTACACGCACTTACGCTCCACACGTACTAGTTTCTCTACATGCACTACTCTGGACACACTGTTCCCACCATTTCCTCTTCCTCTGCACGCACCAACTTCTCACGTACGTTACGCACTACATGCCTATGCACTACAGCTTCTACCACCACGAGAGCGCAACTATTTCCAGATGCATTACGTACCCTATACGAACTTCGTCTTGCACATTCTCTACTTCGTCTTATAAGCAAACTCCATATCATAGCGGTGCACATTACCAAAAAGTATTGATATTTATTTTCAATGAATAGCGCTCAATGTATCGTGGTCATAATGTTGTATGTAGTCACGCATGTATGTAAAACATCTTTCTTGACAACATATATCCTGATATTGCTTTGTTCGTCGGTTAGTTTGACCTATTATTTACATCTGTCGAGCAGTTAATACCTCTAATTGAACAGTCTGTTTCTAGTTATGGCGTGAGATTCAGCCTGGACATGAAAACTTGCCTCCCTTTTCTCCTTTCACAAAAGTTTGAATGATGATGGAACAGTCTCAGGACAAGTCTTATGGTTTTACCACGACCAAAAATTCTTACTCTTCTATAATTTCATATTGAATTTAAAATGTTTCCCCTCAGACCTCCTTTTTACCACGTGTACGACTTGCAAACCTACCTGTCAGTAAGCTTGACTGCTGCTTATCACGGGAGTTATTGTCAACGTACGGTAGACCCAGGGAAGACCGTGCAGATTTAGCCAACCCAAGTATCACCATAAGCACGGCAAACACGTTGAACTGCCAATGACTGCTGTCCGTCGCCTGGTTCTTGATATCTGAACATTGCTCATCTTCTTGCACGGAATCCTGACATAGCCTGGCACTTTGTGGAGAGGAATAGTTGGAGGCTTGGTCCTCTAATCGGGGAAGGGATACAGGATTTATGAAGTGTAACAGACCGAAAATTAAACTAGCAATACCATAGACAACCGATGCACAGGACAGGATCCTAGGTATAAAACGTCTACCCCCAAAATGGCTGAAGAAGAAAATAGCTACGAGATAGCCGATTTCGTTGCAGCTTAGGAGGAGACCACTTCTTGTACTGCTGAGCCCAAATTGCTTTTCTAGAGCTGTGATCTGAGACACTGTATACAACTTAACTGACTCCATCACCATTGACGACACACTGAATACGGCAGTGAAGCAGAGGATGTTGTGGAAACATCGACGTCCTCCAGACTCAACAGTCGTGTCCATATTCATATCGTTCTTCCCCATTATTAATGCCTGGAATGTCAAAGGAGATATGAGTGTGTTGTTAAAAAAAAATGAAAAACATTATACTATGTATTCTGAACAGGTCTGAAAAACGTCAACGTACAACCAGTTAGGGTGTGATCAGTAACTGTATCCCATTGCTTCGTACGCCGAGAATAGAACAAACAACGAAACATGGTGTCACAAGCAGTAAGGAGTTTTCTCTGCTGTCACGTGTGTATTGCTTGAGTGTGTGTCACCTATTTTCGCAACAACTTGCTACACTAACTGAGATGTTCGTACAATATGTATATCGTGGCAGCTTATATGTTTGGAGCATTTTGGCTACATAAACTACTGATGATGACTATAAATGAACTTTCTCTGAACTAATCACTGAAAATTATCTGTAAAAAATGACTTTTGACAGTGAGTTCGTTATACCCGCAAACTTACTACGGTAAACCGTCGAAGCCAAAACACGTTTGTGTGCATTGGTAGACACCAGCTTACAATTAAACATGACTTAAGATGATATATAACGAGTGCAGCAACCTCATTCCATTCATGTTCCTAACACAATTCCCCTTCCACCAAAACTAGACTTGAAAGGTGATTTTAACAGAAATTTCAGAAAATTACAAAACAGAACTCTTGTGACAATAGGCAAAGTACGGAAGCGTAGTAGGGCCACGGTGAAGAGTCTTTTGGGTCTTACTATCTCCTACGTAGTACTTAGTATCTCCTACGTAGGACTTAGTATCTCCTACGTAGAACTTAATATCTCCTACGTAGGGCTTACGTAGGAGATATTAAGTCCTACGTAGGAGATATTAAGTCCTACGTAGGAGATACTAAGTCCTACGTAGGAGATACTAAGTCCTACGTAGGAGATATTAAGTCCTACGTAGGAGATAGTGACCCCCCAAAAATGTTAAACCGTGGCCCAACTACGCTTCTGTAGCGAAGTGATCAAACACGTTGAAATTGGTGGATGTATTTTCTTAGTTTTATGCCGTTTACAATAAGTACTTAAACTAGTACTATTGTGTCATCTCATCGTTCTCAAAATAGCAGATGTAACGTAATCTGTAAATTAATGCTCCCAACACTGAAGCAATGATGCTCCCTCGCATGTAACATGGCGCCAAAGGCTTGAGAAGTGAACTCGCCACTCTCGACATTGTCTCCCGTTGCTCCTTCCAAGTGAGAGGGTGAATTGGGTTTTACGCCGCTTTTAGCAGTATTACAGCAATATCATGGTGGGGACATCAGAAATGGGCTTCACACATTGTATCCATGCGGGGAATCGAACAGGGGCCTTTGGCGTGACGAGTGAATGCTTTAACCACCAGGCTACCTACCTACCTCCCCACCTTCCTAGGACGCCGATAGATACAACATACAACGTAACAATAACGTCATAAAGGTAAGGCTGCAGTAGGATCATATACTGGGGTAAATACTAAAAAAAATGCCATAGATTGTTATTACTGTACCCCGATACACTGTAAAATCACAATGGCAATTCGTTATAAAATATTATTTATTTGCTACTCAGCAAGGAAAGTTAAAATGTGCGACGTTACTTTTTCCGAAACCATAGCCAAAACTTGATCACTATTTACTTTAAAACTGCTGTAACTTGTAACAACAACTGCGATAGATTCTAAGAGCATCTCTCAGGCCTTCAGATTCAGAGGATTTAGAATTGAAGTTTCTTTGACTTTCCCGTATTCAATTCCGACCACCAATACAGAAAGAAAAATGAGTAAATGTTTCTTTTTCAATTACCTTCATTTACAAAAATTTATCAAACGGCAGAAAATTGTAATTCCTTTAGCTTTCAAAACAAATTCGAATTTCAGTTAAAATGTATCACTTCGCCATGGTCAAATACGACCAGTATTATCTTACAAAAACGAGTAAATTGTTTCGAGACAAACGTGTTATATAAGCCGCGGCAATTTGAAATAAACGGTAACTGTAGAAATAACTACGGTGCAATTGTAATAAATTGTTTAATTCCTACAGATTCTTTAGAAATTAGAGTTTCCGTGATTGATAGACTTCGCATTGGTCAATTCCCCATCACCGCCGTGTTACAACAAACAACTAAAAAAGCCGAACAACATTTTGATTTAGTTTGTATCATTCACAATGAGGGGCAGGTGCGGTAAATTATAATTTAAAGACGCGGCAAATTGCTAAAAGCTCAGTCCTTCAGATTTTATTTTTTTTCTGAATTTTTTCGAAATTCCTATAATTCATACCGAAAAACATAATTCATCTTTGCCAGTATACTGGGACTCTCTATTATCGCGGGCTCTCTATTTTCGCGTCACGCGAAAACATCGGGAAAGCAGAAACACCACGCCCCGCATCGGCTGTTTACATATGCAAATTACGTAAAATATATTCATCGCTCTTGAAAAAGTCATTTATTTCATTGGAATGTTATGTGTAATCGGAAAAATATTAAAGCATTAATCTTTTCAGTAAGTTCTAGAACATTTTGAAACTAGTATGACCCCTACTGCCCTTACATCTAGCATGAATCAAATCTTACTTCATCAAGAGCAATCCTGCGACAACTTTAAGGTCATTTGCATATTTTCCGTGCTAAAAATATAACAGGAAGTGACGTATTATGCAACTTCACTCTGCACACGGCAGCGACTTGTATGGTACGTTTTAAGCCGGAAAAACAATATTTTGTAACGTTATTGTTACCTTGTTTCCAAATGAATAGAAGTTTCTGATGTTTGGGTTAAAAGCATGATGATATTACTAATGTGAATGAAATTCCTAAATATTTTTTAATGATCAAACTATTTAGATTCGTTACTTGTCTTAGTAAACGTTTCACAGTGTCATCTGCTTGTACCGCGTGCCATAGTAAGAAAATCGCAATACCGCGATAATAGAGAGTTGCTTCAGTTACCGGGTCAAACGAGACAGTCGGAATTGCCGCAATGGTATTAAACGAGTTGCGACCATGTGTCACATTATTTGTGACAGAAATGAAGATTAAACATCAGTCAACTGAAAATATATATAAAATGCTAAATGTCAGTAGCCGTTCATAATCCCGATGGCGACAACATTAACTACCGCGATAATAGAGGGTCCCATGATATATTTTACAGCGATATTGCTATGTTCTGGTCGATATCTTCACATGCAGGTCACACCTTCATATTTCACGTACATTATGCCTACCCGCCGTACTATAATGCATGTGCGTGGCATAATCATCGGAACTACGAAATGTTTCATCTTCTCCCATTTCTCATGACGGAAATGCGTTCAACCCCAAATGTAATAACTACAAAATGCCGCTTTTAATCCGTTATACAGATGTCCAATGGTAGGATCAGTCATGGGTTGTAACATTTGGCTTCTGGATATCATTCATGTGAGTGAGTTAAAATGTTACGTCACATCGGCAATATTTCAGCCATATAGCGATGAAAAAATGTTAAGTTAAACATATGAAAGGTCTTTCACAAGGGACAGTAAACATTAGCAGGATATCACAATTTTAAGTATAAAAACTATCCATTTCAAGCATCACAACATTCTATTCAACTCAAAGATTACATATTACTTTTAATACCATTCAAATGCAGGCTATGGGTCACCGGAAAGCAAAGCTGGACCACCTTACTTGGGATCATGGACACCTACAGTACTGCGGCTTCCTGCATAAGTCATTCATGTGAGAAGCTGTTCATTTTGCACGTGTTTTCTTGTTACATTATGAAATTAATCATAAATAAATCTAGCAATTTGAAAGACACAATTGATCCAGTTGGTTTTTGAAGTATAGATGTGCGTGTGACATTATAATTGTAAAGAACATAGTATTCACTATCTTCAATAAATTTCGGCAAATAACATATATCAAGCATAACTTTGTAACAGATCCACGTGTAATCTTTATTTCACCGGACATTTTCCCGGAATGACCATCGCGTGTCAGAATCAAATGTGCAAAAAGAACATGAGTGAGTGAGTGAGTTACAATTTAAAGTCACACAGGCCGTATTTGACTGTGATATACACACAGTCAAGACAGGTAAAAATAAGTAGACTGTCACGGATGCAAACTTAAAACTAGCATGTAATCATAAAACAATATTTCTACAGAACAACACAATCTAAAAATGGACTTTCTCCTACATAACACTGTTACACTCAGTAACAACAAAACACATTCATGATCAACATTGGGACACGCTGCTAGGTGTGCACGGCCGAATTTATTTCCATGTCACATTCAAATTCAGTTTACACTGACAAATATTTCACCCAGACTAGGTACAATACATGTTAAACTTAGCAGTCCGTTGCTGAAGCCCGACACGTAAAACCAGAGATAAACCTTCATGAAGAAAAACTCTGGAACCGTGTTCCCTCAACGTATGGAACAACAACCTGTACTGGAGGGTCTACAGCAGACTATGTTCACCTTAGATATAAGGTACGTTACATGTGTTGGAATAAACCTTACAAAACATTCATATTTTGATAATGTAAATAAACAGGACAATGTGATATCATCACCATTACTTATAAATAGAGTCCGTGTTTAATAAATACTCCTCTCTGTTACAGCAGTATAATGACTCTTCAACCAACAGTAAAACACCAATCTTTAAAGTAACTGTATTATAATGGCTCTTCAGCCTCAAAGGGATATACAAATAGAGATGAATATATCGGTCATTATATCTGACGTCAGTTATTATAAAGGCTCTTCAGCCAGCAACATATATATCAAACACCATACGCTTAGATGCATGAATAGAAGTATTATAACGGCTCTTCAGCCTAACAATATATACAAACATTGTATTTGCTTCATTTCAATATATGAATAGAAGTATTACGACGGCTCTTCGGCCAACGAATAGACACATATATTGTAATTCCTCCATTTCAGTATGTGAATAGAAGTATTATTAACGGCTCTTCAGCCTAACATATATACAAATATATTGTAACTCCGTCATTTC